TATAACAGCAAAAATCTAAGTCTATTTAAGGATAACTATGAAAAATGTTGGACAGAAATTAAGAGAGACTTAGACAGTTGGTCAAAATTGAAACTTTCTTTGTTAGGCCGAATTGCTGCGATTAAGATGAATGTATTGCCAAGAATGTTGTTTTTATTTCAAACACTTCAGGTTTTGGACAAAATGGAGTGCTTTCAGAAGTGGCAGAGAGACATTTCGAAGTTTGTCTGGCAGGGCAAAAAGCCCAGAATTAAGTTTAAGATACTAACTGATGCAAAACAAAGAGGGGCTTTGCCCTGCCGGACTTAAAGTTGTATTACGAAGCCGCAGCGTTCTGCTGGCTAAAAGATTGGCTACTTCTTGAAGACACTGATGTGTTAGATTTGGAAGGGTTTAACAATGTGTTTGGATGGCATGCATATTTATGGTATGACAAAGTTAAAGCAAATAAGGCCTTTAAGAACCATATTGTTAGAAAATCACTGTTTAATGTCTGGACAAAATATAAAGACTTGCTGGAAAATAAAACACCAAGGTGGCTTTCACCTTTGGAAGCTAAGGCCCGAAAAGACCCAATATGGAGGCCAAATGGCCAAAATATTGGGAAATACTAGAAAAGATGGAGACAATTGGAAATTGCAGAGCTTGGAGAAAATGAAAGACAAAGTGCGAGATTGGTTACACTATGCTCAGATTAAAGAAGTTTTTAAAAATGATAAGAAACTAGGGTTCCAGGTGGAGAAATCGAAATTAGAAACAGAATTGTTAGAACCAAAGACTAAGATACTTTCAAGGATGTATAACTTGCTGTTGGAATGGAATACACAAGATGAAATGGTTAAATCGGCTATGATAAGGTGGGCACAGGACATTGGGCATAATATTATGTTTGAGGACTGGGAAAGGCTGTGGAGTAATGGATTGAAATTTACTGCATGTAATGCTTTGAAAGAAAATGTAATGAAAATGATTTATAGATGGTATATGACCCCAGTCAAACTTGCAAAAATTTACCACCTGTCTGATAACAAGTGCTGGAAATGTAAAGAGTGTGAAGGAACGTTCTTTCACCTCTGGTGGACCTGCCCTAAAGTGAAGGCGTTCTGGGAAATGATTTATAATGAATTGAAAAAGGTATTTAAATATACTTTCACTAAGAAACCAGAGGCTTTCCTTTTGGGTATTGTCAGCCAAGGGGTGGCAAAGAAGGACCAAACATTTTTATGTATGCAACAACAGCAGCAAGGATACTACTCGCAAAACATTGGAAAACTCAAGATCTACCCACACTGGAAGAATGGCAGATGCAACTGATAGACTATATGCAACTGGCTGAAATGACTGGCAGAATCCGTGACCTGGGAGAAGAGAGAATCGAGGAGGATTGGAAGAAATTTAAGAACTATCTACAAAAACATTGTGATTTGACTGAATGCTGAATAAGATGCTAGACTAAATAATTGAGCACCACTTAACTTAGAAGTTTTTAAGAAAATAAGAAAAATGGTGAAAGTTTAACTCTTTATGAGAACTATAAGATTATGAAATATCGAAGAGATACAAGAATTTAAATAAGATGATAAATTGTAAATGGGTTATTAATAGGTAAAAATTTAACGTTACAATACTTTAAGATTAAAGATCAAGATAAATAAAGAGGGTATGGATTTGCTGAACCAACAATTCGAACTGGAATACAAAAAAGGGAGGCGTGAGGAGGTCCGGGAAACAAGCTAACGAAAAATATGTAGCGAAAAGATTGAGTTGTTTTTAACCATTTTTATTTTTTGTATTTTCTTCTTTTTTATTTTTATTTTGTAACATTTTGAAAATTTCAATAAATATTTTATAATAAAAAAAAACCAAAGGTGTGAATTACCTTCTCTGAAAGGCATTATGTTTGAACTGACTGAAGAGAGATGAGAAGGAAGTTCTACCTACGATGGATCGTTTACAGCTGGAAGTCAAATGCATTGCTAGTTGATGATTAGTGTGGGGGTTGCTGGTCAGAAGAGCCCCACCATTATGGAGAATGAACACCCATCTTGGGCAACCAAGTGGGTGCGAGAGGCAGTGGATGGTGGGGACAGAGACAGCTGATCTGTGGGGTGAGCAGCAGCCCTCCAGCCATCCCTTCTGAGTTCCACACCAGCCATTTTCCCTGAACACCATATCCTCCTGAGCTGATACCTCAGGGGCAGCGACACCTGTTGCTTCTTGGACACCCAACTGCCTTCTCATCAACTCATCAGACTGTGCTGATGGGGAAGTCACCTGACCAAGGGCTTACCGTTTATAGTGGTATAGTTGTGGTTTGAGCCAATGTATTTAAAACCTGGACAGCATCTTAAAATGTAGAGACATCAACTTGCCAACAAAGGTCCGTATAGTAAAAGCTATGGTTTTCCCAGTAGTGATGCATGGAAGTGAGAGCTGGACCATAAAGAAGGATGATCGCCGAAGAATTGATGCTTTTGAATTATGGTGCTGGAGGAGACTCTTGAGAGTCCCATGGACTGCAAGAAGATCAAACCTCTCCATTCTGAAGGAAATCAGCCCTGAGTGCTCACTGGAAGGACAGATCCTGAAGCTGAGGCTCCAATACTTTGGCCACCTCATGAGAAGAGAAGACTCCCTGGAAAAGTCCCTGGTGTTGGGAAAGATGGAGGGCACAAGGAGAAGGGGACGACAGAGGACGAGATGGTTGGACAGTGTTCTCGAAGCTACCAGCATTAGTTTGACCAAACTGTGGGAGGCAGTGGAAGACAGAAGTGCCTGGCATGCTCTGGTCCACGGCGTCACAAAGAGTCGGACACGACTAAACGACTAAACAACAACAACATTTAAGAGTGAAATAGCAGTTGATTGTCAGCACCTTTGGCCACATGTTCTTGTTATTAGAGAGTGGGTGTGGGTTTTTTTTCCCTTTCAACACTAATGGTGGGTTGTGCCCAAACTGAGAAATGTTCTAGGGCTGTACTAACACCCTTTATGTTCCTCCAGCTAGTAAATGTCAGCTCACACCAGTCAGAGGGAAGTTGCATGAAACAACCATTTCCTAAACCACCAATGCACGCCCCACCCCAGACAATGCCAACAAATGAAAACACTGAGGATTCATTCCTGATCTTTCACAGAAGTCAGAATTTTTTTGCTGTAGAAATTTTGTTGTTCTGGAATACTAGCGGTTTCATGTGCCAGAAAACCTGACACATACCCCAGTAAGTATAATATTATAAGTGGTAAGTCTGGAAATGCCTCAAGACAGCAGACAGAGAGGCAGTGAGCCCAGGCCATATGCTCCATCGGGCATTGTGCATTCACATGTATTTCTCTGCTCATCTTGACACATACAGCTGCCTTGTAGCATGTGTTTGAGCTGCCAGTGGGTGGGCAGGAGGCAGAGCCATGAATGAGTGGGGGCAAAGTGTTGCTGGACAGATCTATGTGTGCCAAACAGCCTGCTCAGTGCCCACTTGGTTAGCCTTCTGCCCTTGAATAGAGTGAAGGAAATTAACTGGTTGCCAAGGATAAACTTAGATTCAGTTGCTGCTCCAGTCGGCTTCTATAACTGGCCTGAGGAGGTAGGCTAAGTCTTGTCTCTTTCAAGCCAGTGACAGATAGCAACAAAGTTTCTTATGTCACCCTCCCTCTTGACAACGGCTTTCTATGTTGCCACAGTTGTGTGGTTAGCAAACCAGGCCGTAGAAAGTACCACACTGCTGAGGTTACAAAGGAGCGGACACTTAAACAGGTCTCCTTCTCAGGATGAAAGACCATGGCAGAAGCACATGTCTTGGGACACGCAAGTTATTACTGACAAGAACAACTTGCTTTGACGATTTTTAAAAAGTCCTTCGTTCCCACAGTAAAATATCATTTAGGAATATGTAATCTCTTTGCACCTACGCAGCATGCTCACTCATGCTAATCAACATGTTGGATGAGAGTTTCTTTAAAAACAGACAGCATCTGCCCTGTCAAAAATATTCCTTATGCCAGATACAAGAGAGCAAATGCTTGTGCTTTAGAGTTTGGGGGGGGGGGCATACAATTGAAGTCTTCAGGTGGCATTTCTCCTTCCAGAATGAAGATTAGGGCTCTACTGGAGCCAAACTCTGAATGCCACAAGGTGAGTTATGGACTAAACATGCTCAATTTTGTGTAAAGATGGAAGTAAAAAAAGAGTAAGTGAATTAGCAGAAGGTATTGGAGACTACTTTGGTGTGACATTGTTGAACTGAGGCTGCCTTATTAACTCCAAAATGATATTGCCACGTATGGAAAGATGCACCAGAGACAGGCGTCATTATCTTTTGAGTAATGCCAAGGTTAATGACAGTGGGGAATGTTGTGTAATGATGCCAACTGTATAGCTGGTATTCATGGGCAACACTACAACTTTGGAACTATTCAGCCATTGTTCTTCCGCAGTGGGAGCAGACTGAGCATCTGCCTTACAAATTTAAGCATGGCAAAAGGCAAGCAGTTTCAATCAGGTATTCTTTATGAGACTTTGATGACTAGATAATCAGTGTGCTGTAGACAAAAAAAAAAGGAGAAGCTTTAAGACTGCAGGTGGATGCGTTCATTTACCCATGAGATAAATATTACAACAGTAATTATGGAAAGTGCGATGTTTCATTGATCTATATTAAGAAACATAGGAGAAGAGTTTCCAGAGGGGGAGCCATTTTGCATGGCATTACGTCAAAATGAAGAGTTTCCTGGCACCTTAATGCCTAAGAAAATTATGATGGCATAAGCTTTCATGGAATGGAGTCCAGTTCATCAGATGCAGGATGCAATCCAAAATTAGCATCTTTACACACATTGTTTAGGAGAGAGGAAAGGAATGAGGCTAAGGGGAAAACAAAATCCACAATAATCAAGATCAGCCTCTCTTTTGGTTCTTTCTAGGGCTGCTAGATATCAGCGGGACTCATGACTCATGACTCACTTCGTTGGCATTACTTGAAGAAGCAGAGGGGAATCGGGGGGTGGAAGGTAACATGGGCTTTTGGGGGAAAAGAAACACATTTAGACTTTGACGCTGCATTTTAATGAGCAAAACTAGCTTTGCAGCAAAATTTGACGAACTCCTCATCTCTGTTTGGGTTTTAGACCCCCTCTCCTTTTGCAGGGGGTGGGGAATCTCAAGCTAAGGGGCCAGATGTGATCCACAAGCCTCTCTACCTGGTCTTTAGGACTCTTCCCACACCTCACTGGCTCCATGACCTCCATGGGTACATTTGCTTCTGCTGTCAGAGAAGGGAAACTCGTATCTTCTGGGCCTTATACTGCAAGCATCTTCCATAGAACAGTCATTCACTTCAGTGGAAGATGGCAGGTGAGAATGGAAATGAGGCCTTGTAGATGCAACAGCATATGCTATAGTTTTCCTGGGGAGTAGAACATAAAAATGGACATATTTTCACATCATTTATTTGAGTAGGTGCATATAAAACTAATGCTAACTATTGCCATATGTAAGGGACACTGCAGTCAGCTGAAGGGAAGCATTCTGCAACATTAGACTTGAAAGGGCAGAGAGGGAGAGAGAGATGGAAACTTAATGCAACAAACTTAACACCTGGTGTTAAGCTGGGTAAAGCCGAAAAATAGACTACCTTTTGCCTTGATCTCCCTACTTGCAAAGTGGGATTAGAGAAAAGGCAGTAGAAGTGCCATGCTCAAACATCCCCCTCTCCCCGTGTGTTGAAAGAAAACATCAATAGCAGGAGACTGAAGTCACACTCAAATGTCACTCAGCGCAGAAAAGAAAATGACAAGAATCAAACCATTTGCTTAGCCTTAAGGCAACAAGGAGTGGAGACTAAAACATGCCACGGCATATCAATGCTGTCATCAACTTCGTTATTTTCCTTAGGAGATACTGACAACTAGTAAGCATCCAGAGGGGGTCCATATGGCACACAGGGTGGACAATTCTTATCCTTGGGAGCTCAGATACACCTATGCATTTGGAAGGACACATAACCAGTATTTTGAAAACAGCAAGAAAGTTTGTGATTTGACTTTGTTTTTCGCTGTTGTTGTTGTTGTTTTTTAAAAAACTCATTAGAAATCCTTATATACTTTTATGGATTCAGAGGGCATAGCAATTCTTTGATATGACAAATGCAGTAGAATGGTGAGTGTTTTGGTGTGGCTGTCTAGAATAAATAAAATGGGATATTAATTGATACAACTGTGACATACATTCCCCCTTCCCACTTTCATGGCACCATTTATCTGCCATAAAATTGAGGTAGGTATTCTTTGTTTTCCGGAGTCGGTGGGAAATGAATTTTCAAATAAAAAGAATCTTTTTATTATTATTCACCAAGAAATACTTCCCATTTTAAGTGGTGGTATAAGGTAGTACTGATACCTTGAATTTGGCCTGACAGTCATTGCAAGTGCTTTCAGAACTGAGACACGTGGTCCCATTGGAATGCCCTACTCAGAAACCTAGTAGCAGCATTCTACATTTATGTAATCTTCTGGGGTGTTTTCACCATGCTCCACCTCCACCCCTTTAAACCTGCAAAATTCAGCTTCGGCGAAACTTTAGCCCATCATGACTGGTATAAAAAATGTGGTCCGTATCTATGCCCACTGCTGAAAAGGCTTGTACTTGCACACATGAGATGGTCACCCAAATCTCTCCTCTCATTGTTGGCTATTAAAGGCAAGGAACCACAAACTTAAGCAGATTCAGGATTCCTCCCCCCCCCCCCAAAAAAAAAAAATCCACACACACACACACAAAGAGAACATCAAAAGCTAAGTTACTGGATTATGGCCAGTGATTGTGTATTAATTTAAAAGCTTAAATCCTTTTTTAAAAAGTTTCATTCTAGACCGACATGAAACAGCAGTGCTTGAATCAAACACATTCAAAAGACTCAACAGCTAAAAATGCCCTTTTTGGAAATACCCAGCTTTGTGAGCAGGAAATTTTTCAGCATGACATACCATATGTTGGATTTATTTGCATCTTCCGGAAGGCTAGATCAGAACCTTTGGAGAAAACAATGGGGAGTTAGACCATGTTCTGGGAATCAAGATTGTCTACAAGGTTCCACATGACATTTGCTAACCTTGCAGCAAAAAAATTAAAATAAAATAAAAATACCACCCTTAAGCCATGCTGTCATTGAGATGAGTTCCATTGTGTTGGGATATCTGCCAAAAAGCAGTTCCTGAACATACTCCATTTGGTGATTTCCTAAGGGACTTTTATCATTGTTCAGATGTACAGCAACTTGATAAGCCTTAATTTAACACGTGTATATCACTATTTAACCTTTGCAGACTGCTGCTGGTGTGCCAGGTTTTTGTGTAATGATAGAGTACTCACCAGTGCTTGAGAGCAGATTAATCAGGTATATTTTCCTGCAAAATCACATTGTGCACCCTGCAGCCTTGTTAAATCCCAGCTAACAACAGTTTCATCATCCAAAGAGCTAGCTGTTTACACATGATAAGGCTCCAAGGATTGTAAACTTATTTAAACAATCCAGTCCGACACACTGACCATATATAAGCTGTCAACATTATTGTTCAGCCAATGTTATAAATGTCCTGTGCACATCTGTCTCTACGTTTGGCAAGGAAACGTCGAGACACAATTAGCACATTCCCTGCAACAAATTAAAATATGCAGTGTGTTTTCACTTTCTCTCTTTAGTGTCTGTAGTAGCATGATTTTTAAAAAGCCCTCTTTGTATCCTTAAAAGGATGCACCTAAACACTAAGCAAAAAATGTCTAACCATCTACCGGTTGTCTATTAGTGGAGGGAACCATACCTCACATTAATCCCTCAAGCCACACAGTAAGATTCTGTGTAAAAGTTTCTAATACCGTATTTGTCCATGTATAAGACTCCTCCTATTTTGGGGGACTCCAAATTAAGAAATACACTACCCATGTATAAGATGAGCCCCAATTTTAAACCTAATTTTTTGGTTAAAAAAACCTAGTCTTATACACGGAAAAATATGGTACTTCTCGTCTACAGCTGAATGATTTTCCCCAAGCTCTCTGTGGAGAAAATAACGATTTATCTTTTATTAGTCAAATCTAAGACACATCAGTACATAAAACAAGCTGTAGTCCACAATAACCCTCTACCTTTCTCCTTTACCACTGTGTCACACTATGTGATATTTGAACAGAAGGAATTGATTTTGTAGACATAGGGCTCTAATTCCAATAATGCTTTGTTACAACAGTGCTTTCCTGCCAGAAAATAAAATAAAATCCACCATTGCCTTCAGTGGACCTTCACACACATACATTCATGTAAGGAGTTACCCTTTCAAGTGAGAAGCTCACTCATGGAAGACTTCCATGCGTATGATGGAGCATGCATGAAGCTTAGGTCACTGAGATAGAATATCCCCATTATATTACACTACTGTTGAGAGCATTGCACTGACTAGGTTCAAGGGGCTGCTATTTCATAAATAGGCATCATATCCAGGTACAAAAAAGTATCTCATTTGTCGCATCCCTTAAATATTTATTTCCATGCCTTTAATATCAGATTCATTAAACTGGTTTGTCTAGGGCAACTTTCCAGATGGAGTAAATTGAAAGGGTAGAGACTCTGTGACCAAGCTCAATTTTATGCAAGGGCTAGGGTAATGTGATATTTCCACACATGTATCATCTGTTGAATATGGACAGCTATAAATGTCATCATTTACCAAAGCTGCCAGAAACTCACTGGAGTGTTAAAATGTACAAAGGGAAATATGCTGAAATGAGTCATACAGAGATCCCACCCTTGAAATTGATCCTGGAAATGGGGTTATGCAAGTGGAGCATGGCATAACATTACAAGATTGACAGCATTTGGGAGCTGTTTAGGGGCTGGCTTAGCCTTATCACTCATTCAATTGTCTTCGATCAGCATTAGATTAGCATGCTTACCTTCTAACACCCATTGGGCTCAATGCTTAATGTGGTTATTTTGAGAGGGGGAAGGTCAGAGTGGGGAACCTTTTTTCAGCCTGAGGTCCACATTCCCGTCTGGTCAATCTTCCAGGGGGCCTATGCTAGTGGTGGGAGGGCTTAGAAGCAATTTAAATTTACCTGTATACAATGAGCTACTGTCTGCACGGCTACATACTCCTTTTATCATCCATTCAGGCAAGCAAGAACAACAACAAGAAGAAGAGTTTGGACTTGATATCCCACCTTTCACTCCCCTTAAGGAGTTTCAAAGCGGTTAACAATCTCCTTTCCCTTCCTCCCCCACAACGAACACTCTGTGAGGTGAGTGGGGCTGAGAGACTTCAGAGAAGTGTGACTAGCCCAAGGTCACCCAGCAGCTGCATGTGGAGGAGCGGAGACGCAAACCCGGTTCCCCAGATTACGAGTCCATAGCGAAAATTCTCAAGAGTTAGTGCATAGAATAATTTGGAAGGGGTGTACAGTGGTACCTCGGGTTAAGTACGTAATTCGTTCTGGAGGTCCGTTCTTAACCTGAAACTGTTCTTAACCTGAAGCACCACTTTAGCTAATGGAGCCTCCTTCGGCTGCTGCGCTGCTGGAGCACAATGTTTGTTCTCATCCTGAAGCAAAGTTCTTAACCTGAAGCACTATTTATGGGTTAGCGGAGTCTGTAACCAGAAGCATGTGTAACCTGAAGCGTATGTAACCCGAGGTACTACTGTATTTCTTTGGAAGAGTCTCGGGGGCCAGATAAAGGGGTCTGGAGGACCACATTCATCCACTGTCAGGAGGGCTGAAAGGAAAGTGTTGGGCCCCTGCAGGTCAGGAGGCTTGGAATGCAATTGACTTTTGTTCATAGAAAGTAACACAGCGAGGTCTTCCTGACTCAACTCCTTCAGCTTGGGAAGTTGCAGGAAACTAAGCTCCAGCCTCACCTTTCTCCTCTAGCCTCTCACTCTGAAGCCCTCTCCAAAAGACAAAAAGTGTGACATGGGGCTGAGTGCCTCCTCTGGGCCTGCCTTGCCCATTGCTCGGCAACATGTAGGACTCTTCTAGAGTGGGGTGTGAGAAGTGGAAGGCCAGCAGGAATGAGACTGTCCTGCTGTGGGATGGCAGGTGTACCTTCTGACTCCCCCCTGACTGCATCTGCACTCAAACTGAAGTTCTTAGCTTCCAGCCGCATTCTTGGAAGGGCCTTCTTCTTCTGACTCCAACTTGATCACTCCAACCTCCTGCTTTCAGCAGCTCCCAGCTCATCCCTCCCCCAGCCTCCTCCCCATTGTCCCACCACCAGGACCCTAGATCTAAGTCCTCATCTTTCCTGTCCTCCCTGGAGGGCTCCTGGGTGGGAGGCTCCCACCACTCCTCCTCATCCAGCCAATCCCTAACATCCCCAGGTTACCTATTCCTGAACTGGACCTTGATGACCTGTTTGGTAATCTAGGCAGGCTCTTAAAGGTAAAGGGTAAAGGGGACCCCTGACCATTAGGTCCAGTCGTGACCGACTCTGGGGTTGCGGCGCTCATCTCACTTTATTGGTCGAGGGAGCCGGCGTACAGCTTCCGGGTCATGTGGCCAGCATGACTAAGCTGCTTCTGGCGAACCAGAACAGTGCATGGAAACGCCATTTACCTTCCCGCCGGAGTGGTACCTATTTATCTACTTGCACTGGCGTGCTTTCAAACTGCTAGGTGGGCAGGAGCAGGGACCGAGCAACGGGAACTCACCCCGTCGCGGGATTCGAACCGCCGACCTTCTGATCGGCAAGTCCTAGGCTCTGTGGTTTAACCCACAGCACCACCCGCGTCCCATAGGCACTAAGGCAGGCTCTTAGTGAACTCAAAAAATGTAGGATTAATTCAAAGAACCTTCCTAGGCTAGAGATGATACATAATGATAAGTAATCGCAAACAGTTGGGCTGTGGCTGATCCAATATTTGTTTCCATCCTCCTCCTCCTCCTCCTCCTCCTCCTCCTCCTCCTCTTTCCACTTCTTCTTCTTCTTCTTCTTCTTCTTCTTCTTCTTCTTCTTCTTCTTATCCTCCTCCTCCTCCTCCTGTTAAATGAGCAGCTGCTGTTATTCAGCGAAAGAAAGTGGCACGCCTGGGCTCCAGCAGCATATGAACTGGGCACAAGTAGGATTACAATTCAGGCTTTGTTCTGTTACTCTTCTGTTTTTTGGTTTTGTTTTGTTTTGTTTAAAAAAGTGAGCCCCCAAAAGATTTTATCACACAAATGTGGTGGAAAGATGAGAAAGAACATAATTATGTACTTAAAACTAGATCTCATCAAACTCTGATTCCATAAAGATAATTAAAAACAGATCTTCTCTTCTGGTGGAAGATCTGCACAACTTTTGAGGATTTCTCTACGGGAATGAAAGAAGTCTACAAAAGTTGCACAGATCAGAACTACATTAGGTGGCCAAACACATGCATGGGTATTCAGTGCAGGAGACAAAATCTTTCTTGAGCAAAGTTATGCATTCCTTTATAATTTATTTTTGCCTCTTTAACATTTAAGGCTTCTTACCTCCACTCAAAATGGTGTGCACGACTCTGTAGCATGTTGACCAGAGATACATATATGGAGAATTGTTGGAAGCACATTCCCAAGAACAGCAATGAATATGTTTTCCATGTGTTCATTTGTGCCCGCAACAGAACAAAGAGCAATAAAGAACAGCATAACACAGAACTGGAGGAAAACAAGCTGTATTTGATTAGAATTAACCCAGACAAGCACCCTAGGCTCCTAGCAGCTGGAACAATACAACCAGAGGCATGGAACCACCCACTGTCTTTAAGGGATGTGCATGAAGCAGTACCACCTTCCCCCAACTGGCCAACCAATGCTCAGCCCTTATGGTAGCACAGCCAATTGCAATGCTGTCTGTTGTGCTGCATAACCAACAAATGAAGTCTCTCTTAGTGGCAGCAATGTAGTATGATGGAATGGCTTTTGCCAGTTCCACCATGTACTCTGCTGAGTCACTTATCCATGCTATGGCTTTTCAGAGCAAGTAGAAAATTCTACTCCTAGAGTCTATGTGCCACCTAGTTAAATCAATGAGGTCCACCCTCTAGGGTGATGCATCTCCAAATGTGACCTCCGTCCTTTATGTAACGAGGATTGCTCCAAAGTCAATTATGTGGGAATGTTTAGGGATACAGGAGAGGATATATTGTCTGATGATATCCTTATCCAACTTGTGTTAACAAGTTCCACAATTTCAGCAGAGTAACATTCCCCTCTTTTAAATTTGCAATGGATGCGTTTTGCTCAGGCTCGCTAAAGCCTCTATAATAACTGTTCTGGTATTTCCCCCTTATTCCCTCATAAAAGATAAGACACGGCACAGTCTTCTACAAAAGTATAAAAAGAGTTTACTCACATTCTGTTCACAATCAGATCCCAGAAGGCAGACTTAGCTTAATGAAGTAACATACACTTGGAATCTATCTCATAAGAAAACAGTCCCTTTGTCCTCCCTTGGCTGGAAGCCAAGAGGGCATCTTTGGCTTAGTAGATGTTGCTTCTTCAATGCATGTGGTGAAAGAGAGAGAGATAGCTGCCCCGCCCTGTGCTTTTGTCATTACCTGCACAGGTGAGGCCATACCCACCTCTAGTCACATGCAGAGGAAGTCTGTCCCAGCCCAGAAGGAAACAGGAAGTTTACCAGCTGGCTGGACAAACATTCCTCCCCATGTGCAAACATGTTCACTCTAGGAATGTTGTACTTGACTGCTCTTGTTTTTCACATCCTACAAATTATGCCACTCACAATTTATTTTGTCTCTGCTGTTTCGTCAAATGAACCACAGCTGCTGAATTCCTAGCACCATGCCACCACCTCAGGTATTCTGATACTCTTTCTGGACCCTACCCCTGTAGCTAAGACTGACTGTTCCAGCTCTGGCCTGACTCTCCCAATCCTCTCCTCCAATCTAGTTCCATGTCATAACATTAGTGAAGAAAATGGGAAGGCAGACCCAGAGCTTTGCAGGCTCACTAGCTCAGCTCCACAATTCAATAGAATGAGCATTCCATACCTCCCATGCTATTCCCCTTCCTTCCTCCCACCATCCTGACCATGGGAACAAAAGAAATCCACAACTTGATGGAAAGGAGTGCTTCTTCAAATATTTCTGCAAGCACACGGCTGACATTCTTTGGTAACATGGGGATCCGTCATTTCTTAAAATATGTGGAATAGCCTTCCACCGCAGAAATACTTGAATATTGACTACATTGGAAGGAAATGCATGACCAGCAGGACTTTGCCTTTTCTTTTTCTAAATGGCAGTTCCCCATGCGCATCTCAGAACTGCTTTGTAAGCCACTGGGAAAGACATTCAAATAAAAGGGGCTTGATGGACCATTGACATTTTCAGTGTAGTGCTTAATACAACACAGTGGTCGCTACACGGCATTACTTCCTAATTGACTTATGATTTGCTCCTTTGTCTTGACACACTGTATTATTTGTGAAATATATATATTTACATTTCACACTTAATACCTGCAAAGATTACATTTTTGGGAGACTGGATTATTTTTCCAGTCATTGCCTCCTGCTTATCTAAACAAAATGTTCAGAAATACCCAGGAAGTCCTGGATTTTAAAAACCATTAATTATCAAAATCATAGCAGCGTCTACAGACCAGGAGTAGATGCTATTTGTTTTGTTTTGTTTTAAAAGCCAGGGTGGTTATTACATGGCAGCTAAAGAATAAGGAATAACAAACAATGAAGTCTGAATTAGAAAGAAATTTTAAGTGCTGTTTTATTCTTTTTTTAAAAAAACACACTATCAGGGCTTGATAGCATTTATAGAAACACGTTATGACTGGCATCCTTCCATTTAATGAACAGTTTGAGAAAGTGAATAATGTGAGTCTGGCCCTTGAACCATTTAAAATTATCAAAAACAAAACAAAGATTTTCCTGCATCAAGTTATGGTTTAATGTGCATGCAGACGTCCCACCTTTTAATTTAAATGTGATTAATCATTAGGTTTTGTCAATTAGAAAAGACATATATAAGAAATATTTCTATAAGGGCTCATCTAGATATGCAGCAGAGTTCCAGATTTCAGTTCGAATTTTTTAGTTCAAAACTTAGAATTCAAAAATTAAAATTCAATTCCACTGTATGAAAACTATGAAAAGACTACATCTCTCTCAATCTCTCTCTGTAGATAGAGACAAAGAGGTCAAGCTATAGTTAAAGACTGATAGTACAACGAGTCAGTTCTTATCTTTTCAGTCCCCTTGCTCACAATGGGATCTTTTCCATTGCATGAGCTGAGCTCTCAGCTTAAAATGGGACTTAAACGTGTTTCGCTTTGGCTGGATCATATCCTGCACTTGCAGCAAAATGATGCCTACCGTATTTTTTTGTGTATAAGATGCCCCCATGTATAAGACAACCCCTATTTTTTGAGCCCAAAATAAAGAAATACAGTGGTACCTCGGGTTAAGTACTTAATTTGTTCCGGAGGTCCGTTCTTAACCTGAAACTGTTCTTAACCTGAAGCACCACTTTAGCCGCCGCACCGCTGGAGCCCGATTTCTGTTCTTATCCTGAAGCAAAGTTCTTAACCTGAAGCACTATTTCTGGGTTAGTGGAGTGTGTAACCTGAAGCGTATGTAACCTGAAGCGTAGGTAACCCAAGGTACTACTGTAAATATTTTAAACACCAAACAGAACAACTTTGATATTTTATTAAATATTCAAAACACCGGTATATTTCGTACCGTATAGTTAAACATCAAACAGTAGGTGAGCTGTGTAATGGCGTCTGCTCCTGTCAACTCAGTGTAACTCCACTGTAGCTGCAGCTCCAGCTCCAGCTCTCCTGCCTGTGTGCTGCACTTTTGTCTCAGTATTTACGGTATGTACCGTATTTACTCCACGAGCGCCGGCAGATGCAAACGCTGATCGAGGAGTTGTGATGGCCAGAGCTGCCTGAGTGAGTGCGCTTGGGGAATGGAGAGTCTGGGTGGCCCGAGGGCGGCTGAGGGAACCAGGTGGAAGGGACAATGTCCGGTGTGGGGGCTTGCTGGGGGGGGAGTACCAGACCAGGGTTTGTCCCGAGGCCAATAGTGAGGTGAGTCTGGGGGGAATGAATATGGATGGCGGCATGTATTTATTTATATATTTAATTGCAACATTCCGTGTATAAGACGCCCCCCAATTTAAAACCTAATAAAATTTGGGGGGGATATTGTCTTATACACGGAAAAATATGGTATATTCCATTTGGTAGAGCCATTTAACTGTTGCGTTTGACGCTGAAATGTTTCCCTCCCTTCTCCTTTTTTCCATACACTTTGGTTTGTTCTGTCAGAAAACACTGCCTTTCTTGTTTCCCAGAGAGTGCAGCAATATTAAAGCCACTTAACTCCAAAGAATAAATCATCTTGTTCGTTTAACTCCAGAGCTAGAGCGGTAGGAGATATTCTGACAGAAAGTCACTTTTAAAGTAAGTATCTTTTCACAGGTTTATGAATACCGTGGCCTGCACTTAATTTTTGATTGAAATAATTGCTTGTTATTTAACAGTCCCTTGAGCTCAGAAATGGAAATATTGGCTTACTGTTACCATTGATGATTTCTCGACCTTTTTTTTTAAGAGACACACAATTTTCTAGTCTTTTTAAAATAAATAAAGCAAAGAGTACCTAGTATTTTGTGCAATTTATTTTTGTTGCTGCCTGTCTGCGTGCTAATTTTCCAGTGTGCCAGGTTAAAGTCTGTACATAAGATCAGTCAAGGGCATTTTGTCTCACCTCTTTTCGAAGAGGAGGAGGAGAGAACAGAAGGTTTTCAGTGTTTTTGTCTGACATTCTGATACGGATGTAAGAAGGCAACAATTTCCCGTCCCACTAGCCCCCCGCAGCCAGGAGCAGCTAGTGCACATGGCTCCTTGAATGTACCTCCCTGGAAAAAAAATCATATAAATGTTCAAAATAAATACATACATGCAGTTCAAGAATGACAGCATTCCACTGAGGGTATCACATCTGATAATTTCATCAAAAACTCTAAGATTTTTGGAAAGAGTTTTGGGTGGTTCTAACCTGTGGAACTAGAAAAGTCCCCATTTTTATTCACTTATTTTTCCTGTCTCTCTTCGTATATGGTTGGTGCTTTTATACATTCTGCTGCTTTTATACAATGGATGAAATTATTGGGAACTCTTTAAATGGTAACCTTAAGTAAGCTGTGGAAGATTTAAGAAGTCTGTGCTTTGTGAGCCTCCATCAGGTTCCTGGGGAAGAGAATTCCATTCCAAAAGAAACAGTATTTAAATAAATAAATAAAAATGAATATGATTTGCTCGAACCACTCTCAGAGTGAAAGCAAAGACTTGTTTGCACTTATTTGCTGTCTTTAAAATCAACAACGTTGGAATGACTCAGTAAATACTCCATTTGAGTTTATTTGTTTTAAAAATCATACTTCCATCCTACAAGATGGGCTACTAATGGCTGCTGCTAATCTGCTTTGATGGTAATTTACCTAGCTCCCATGGCAATGCATGCAATGGATACAAAACAGTGCAGATCAACTACATGGGCAAACATATTTGATTACAATTCTAATTGTTAAAGGCTCACCCTAAGAATCTCTCTCTCTCTCTCTCTCTCTCTCTCTCCCCCCTCCACCCCAATTTTCCAGAGCACAATTTATGTAAAAACAGTAATCACTATTGCTTGGATTAAAAGATTCTCGTTGATATTGAAAGTTTGACACTTCTTTGTGGAACCCAAAAGTAAAATAAATTACCATATTTTCGCTCTATTAGACGCACCAGATCACAAGACGCACCTAGTTTTTAGGAGAGGAAAACAAGAAATAAGAGAGCAACGCAAAGCATCCTGAGCGAAGATGGACCACTCCTCCCTCTTCGCTCAGGAGGCTTTGCGGGGCTATCCCTGAAGCCAGGAGAGCAAGCGGGATCGGTACGCACCAATCCCTCTTGCTCTCCTGGCTTCAGCGAAAGCAAGCCTCCTGGCTTCCCCTCCCACCTCCTGCAAGAGCCGCACGCTCTTTAAAGGGAGCACAGCTCTTGGGGGCCATGCGCTCTGTCCCTTCCGCCACCTCCCGCAAAAGCCAGGGATAGCCGCGCAAAGCCTCCGCAGGGCAGCGGGGTGAAGGCTCCCTGCTGCCCTGCGGAGGCTTCGCGCAGCTAAGGCAGAAGCTAGAACAGCAAGAGGGAACGCTGCCCAGTGCTCCCTCTAGCTGTTCTGGCTTCTGGGGTAGCCCGTGAAGCCTCTGCAGGGGAGCGGGATGAAGGCTCCCTGCTGCCCTGTGGAGGCTTCGCACGGCTAAGCCAGAAGCTAGAACAGCGAGAGGGAGGACTGTGCAGCACTCCCTCTTGGTGTTCTGGCTTCTGGGATAGCCTTGCAACCTGCATTCACTCCATAAGACGCACACACATTTCCCCTTACTTTTTAGGTGGGGAAAAGTGCGTCTTATAGAGCGAAAAATACGGTAGTAAATAACAATGTATTGGGTGTGATCTGGACAAGGTCCAGTACTTGATCGCAATGGGAGAAAATTAACCCTGTACTTTTTTAAAAAATCCCTTGATGGGGCTTCAGATTCTTTTTCAGGGGTCCGATGGAAGAAAAAATGCTTAAATACATCTCTTGATAGGGCTCCACACTGGGAATGTTACAGTCTCCCCGAAACATTTCCATGTGTAAGAAAATAATCTGTAAGGGGAGGGGGAGAATGCTACATCAGAAGAATATAAAAGTATGGATTTTCCTCTGAATAACCAGTAATGAATTCATAGGGTTTTGTCCAGCCAAGGTGTACCCAGAGTAGATCCATTAAAATTAATGGACCCAAGTTAGTCACTCCCATGAATTTCAACGGGACTGCTCTGAGGAAGGCTAGCATTCGATACAGCCCATAGCATCTAACCCAGCCATCTTGATTTTCCTTGCCCTGGCTTTCCCCAGTACAGTGGTACCTTGGGTTACAGATGCTTCAGGATACAGACTTCGCTAACCCAGAAATAGTACCTCGGGTTAAGAACTTTGCTTCAGGATGAGAACAGAAATCGTGTGGCGGCGGGGCAGTGGCAGTGGGAGGCCCCATTAAGCTAAAGTGGTACCTTGGGTTAAGAACAGTTTCTGGTTAAGAATGGACCTCGAGAACGAATTAAGTTCTTAACCCGAGGTACCACTGTAGTCTACTATCCATGTGTGATGTAGAGATTTGTGTGCATGATCCTCAGTTCCTGTTTAGTCCTTCTCCCCATATATCTGTGTTCCTAGATAGCCCATTACACTGTAATATTTACCCTTGAAAAAACTCTTTGAAAATGGATGTCACAGTGCTTTGCAGTGGGTGGGTGGGGAGTCCATGGTATCCTCCACAGACTATTACAATACACTTCAGATCTCTAATTTGCTCTTTCTTAGGTTTCTATCATGAGCCATAGATTTAGCAGCTCAGCCTGGCTTTGCACCAACAGAATGCCTTAAGGATGAGGTGTCAATAACTGTAATCCTCTAAGCAAACAGACCCATTCCTCTCCTGTGAAAGACAACTTTCTTTCTTTTTAACCTCTCCCTTTGTGTTGTTGCACAATCTCGTCTCACTTACTTCTATTTACATGAACAGCCTAAAAAAATGCATCTATATTTTCACAGCTTACACAATTTGGCAGCCTTTTCCAATCATTATCATAAATGTCTCAATCATTTTCTTCTTCTTCTTTTTTGTCCAGCAAAGTGAATCTCAGAAATTTTAACTCCTTTGGATACAATCAAATAGCCTTTACTTCAAAGCTGATATCATTTCAGGTGTGTGTGCAAGCCTCACATTAATGTAGGGTAGCCAATAGCTGTCACTTTTATTGTTGCTATTATTGGTAGTGGCAGTATTATTTCACCCTTCACCTGAAGGTCCGAAAATATATCGCAACAATTAAAATTGACAGTCACAGAAATAAAGTGAGTCATAAAATATACATTTCAGGCATTAAAATCCAGGGTGAAGAGATGAACTTCTGCATTCCCTAAAAACTGTATAAAGTAGATGCCAGGCATACCTCTATGGGGAGTGAGTTCTGCAGCTATGGGGATGCCCCAGAGAAGGCCCTCTCCCAGACCTATGTTGGCTCCCAGTATGTTTCCAAGCACAATTCAAAGTGTTAGTGCTGACCTGTAAAGCCCTAAATGGCCTTGGTCCAGTATACCTGAAGGAGCATCTCCACCCCCATCGTTCTGCCCGGACACTGAGGTCCAGTTCCAAGGGCCTTCTGGCAGTTCCCTCACTGCGAGAAGTGAGGTTACAGGGAACCAGGCAGAGGGCCTTTTCAGTAGTGGTGCCTGCCCTGTGGAATGCCCTCCCATGAGATGTCAAGAAAATAAACAACTGTCTTTTAGAAGACATCTGAAGGCAGCCCTGTTTAGGGAAGTTTTTAATGTTTGAAGTTTTATTCTGTTTAATATTCTGTTGGAAGTCGGCTGGGGAAACCGAGCCAGATGGACGGTGTATTAATAATAATAATAATAATAATAATAATAATAATAAATCACCCTTCTGCTTAATACCCAGTCAGGACCTGTAGGGAAGGAAGAGGTGTTTCAGGTATTTGGGGCATGAGATGTTTAGAACTTTTAACATTAGCATGAGCACTATGAATTGTGCCCAGAAACATGTGCCATTCTCAGGGGGTGTAAAAAAAAAAATGGCGAAGTGTGAGCGCACCCTACCTGGTACATTATCTGAAAGAACGTGACCAAAAAAAGCAGATCCTGAGAATTGCCACTTTTTGAAAGCCAGCTTCCAGAAATCTGCACTTTATTGCTTTCACAGTTCCACTTGTCATATTTTAGGCTCGGTTTAGGATTAAGGGTAGGCAAACTGCAACTCGGCTGATTTTGAGGATGTTTACTCGAGTCCTGAGAAAGATTTTCAGGACTTGAAATCAAATAGTTTCCCCTGCCCTAATATCAAGTCAGAACTTTTGAAACTCGGCATTCATTTGTTTTCACTTTTTTTTAATGACTCAATCTGTCGTCAAAAATATATTTC